CAAGAGCGGGGATCACATCCTATGAATTGACTGGTACCATCAGTGGGGGTGGGCTAACCTGAAACAAGCGGAACTTGAAATCATGCTGAATGTCCCTTTTAGCGCAGGACAGTTGGGTATATTGCTGAGGAAAGCAGAATTTATCACATTTGGGCCTGACCTGGGAAGGTGATGAACACCTGCAGTTCCCATCAAGATCAATGGGAGCTGTAGATGCTCAGCAGCTCTTTTTGTAGGTCACCGTTTAAAGAGACACTTCACAACATCCTTTGACAGTCACCTTTGAAAGGAGAATCTCCACCCGGTGTACTTTTAGTTCCTCTCTTTTTCCTGGAGGTTTCTCATTACAGGGATTCATGGAAATGGAACAAGGTGAAGGTTGTAATCAATCCTGTCTCAAAGGAACCAGAATGTAATCTGGTTCTGTTACACACTCCCCTGCAGATCTCCTTGGTGGTATTTTCTCAGTAAATGAAATAGAAACTCCAAAAGAAGAGCCCTAAGTACAGAGTGTTTATAAGGACCCCTCTGGCATTACAATGAAATAGAAAAATATGCACATGGACACAAGGTGTCATGTTCATGTTTAATGTCCTTCAGACAAACTGAACCCCGAATCCTTATACTTTAAGTAGCAGAAGAGGTTAGGGCACTAGTTGACAAGAAAAGAAAGGAAATCCTGTCATTTTGCCATCCTTCACAACTGCTCAACAAGGTTGCGGATTATTCTACTTCATACTTACACGGCGCTTTGTTTTCATCACACTTTACACAATTAGGGTAAACCTTCAAAAGTGATTTAGGAGCTCACATCCTATTGAAAGTCCCTTTGAAGGTAGAACTTTGGCTTCAAAGTCAGAAATGTTATCCTTGCTCTGATTACTTCTCGCAATAATGCTGCAAGACAAGGCAGTGTTGGTGATGATGGTAATGGTGATTTCCATTTTCACAGAAGGGGAATATAATATAAGAATGAACAGTCCAGTGACTGGTGTCTTTAGGCTAGCATCATATCAGGTCAGGAGTGTCTCATTCCCCATTGTGCCCAGTTTCTTCGACTGCACTCATTCCCAAGCTGAATAGGGACAGAGCAAGTATTTAATTTCAGCTGGGGGGGGGATGTGTATCATTGGGGCTGAAAATACAGGGAGGTATTTAATGATGTGTGATCCATATCAGGCACTGAACACAAATCTGTGGTGTTTCTTTTTTGCTGAAGGGTAAATCTGAGTTACTGGAAAGATAGGCAATTTACCATGGTTATAAAGTACCTACATCAATAGCAGGTATGGGAACTAATTTTGCCTTCTGCTTAAATAATTGAAAAATACTACCCTCACCTCTGGAAACAGCAAAGTCTATCAGAAAGGGTGTGAGACTAGGAGTCAGCAGGCTTGAGCTCTAGCCCTGGCTCTGACACCAATCTGGTATGTGAGATTTGACAACTCATTTGACCTCAGTTTCCCTTCCCATTGTTTGTCTTGCCTGCTAGTATTGTAAGCTGCTTGGGGAAGTGATGGTGTCTAATTATACCTGCATGCAATGTCTAGCATTGCATGGCTCTAATCTTTGTTAAGCCCAGCAATAAAACTAAGTGCTGTATGGTGCCATATGGATACATCACCATACATTCATGGAGAGAGTAAAGGAATGAAAAGATGCTCCAGAACAGTCACAAAATCCTGGCTTGACCAACCATTGCAACCTGTAATAATAGAGGTGTGGGGTTCAGTCATCATAGCAATTTTCCTAAGTAAGCATTGGCACAGTTAAGCACTCTTATATTTTATTAAACTCTAGCAGTGCACTGAACTCATTCCCCCAGGCTGACCTTGACCCTGCTTATTATAGAAAGGTTAATTTTTTACCATAGTGTGGGAGGGAAACCTTCACTTCAATATTTCTTGGCTCTTGCACTTGATTTTGCAACAGTAGCACTCATTTAACAGGAATGTGTTTAATGTTGATATCTATTTATACAGCAGAACAGAGAAAACGTAAAGCTGAGACTGGAGATTAAACCACTACTGAGGTTTTGGTTTTGAGGTTTCGAAAGTTATGAGGAGATAACTTGCATTTCTAAGGGCTACAAAGCCAGCCTGACTTGTGTGGTTTATACCACCTTGTTCACATACTATCCCTCTAGGCTTGCCTTCAGCTTTACGACAGTTTGGCAGAATTTGAGTGTTATCATACCAGGAAAAGTGTTGTTGGTATCACAGCTATGTTACTCCACGATCCTTACGATATTTAAGTATTAGCATAGACATTGGCTGCATCTACATTACTGCTCATTACTACTGCATAGTAGCTCATTACTACTGTGCAGTAGCATCGCCAGGCACAAACCGTAATGTGAACTACTGCGCACAAAGCATCACTAGGCAACTATGCTGGGACGCTACTGTGCATTAACCACAGTTACTGCGCAGTCATTTAGTACATGGTTATGCAAGCACTAAATGACTGCGCAGTAACAACTGCACGGTGGGCGGCTTGTGTAAACGCTCCCATTCCTACTTACATCTCTCAGAACAGAAGCAATTATTCTGTATGTTGGCCTCCATTTTTCCCCTCCCATTCTCCCACTTGCCTTTTATTGCAACCATTCCTCCTCCTCTCCCACTGCTGCTGCTTTTCTTCCGCTTTTCTTTTTCTCAGCATCCCTGGAAACTGTCCTCGCATAATACAGCCTACTGCTTCATTAACAAACATAAGAATACTTGGGCTGGAAAAATAAACTGCTCCTATCCAAGCTCCCTGGCTGAAGGCGAACAGCTGGGTTTGCTGCTTGGAAGGACTGTGTAGCACAGATCCACGTCTAGACCGTCTGCAGTGTCCCAGCTGAGGTGAGGCAAGGAAACTGCCTGTGAGCTGGAGGGTTTCCTATCACACTGCTGGTCTGCATTGTCAACATCGATCTGCTCAGGCTTTACTGCAGGCTTTTCATTGCTCGCCCGGTGCTCTCAGTGCATCTGGAGAAGCAACCAGGAGCCATCTTGCTTTTACTACTTCTGTTCTGGACCTGGCAAGCTCTGCAGCAGTAAAAACAATAAAATGTCTGTACAAATAACATTGCAGGGGCTGGCATCTGTGCATGTACATTTACAGGTCATTTTGGAAATGGCCCTTACTTTACAAGCACAAAAAATATTAAAATATGATATCAAAATAATAAGTAATGTATTTTCCATAAATGTATGACCAGAAAACTCTGCATAATTCCCATTTCCGCACCCCGCCCCTGCAAAAAAAAGGTGTCTGGAGTGTTTCAGTTGCTAAATAGCTTATTTCCATATAGGCTTGAGCTATCCCAACTCATTGCAATGAAATGTTTTTCCTTATTAGGTCAGCCTTTCCTAGACCTGGGCAAATGATGTTTCAACTACATATGGCTAAGAGGTGTGGTGTCAGCGAGTAGCAAGAGAAATCGTCTCAGGTGGGAATGCTTTTGGGACCACCTGAGTGAAATACTGCATTCTCTATTGCCTTTCTGTCTGGAAAGGGCACAAGAAATCCACAATTTGAAGGCAGCAGCTGGTTTCAGCTAAAAACACCGTCCCTCTGCTGACACTTGTTCTGTTTCATTTTCCTTCTGCAGTGGCTAAGGAACCCAGGCCCGCAGCATGAGAAACGAACTCTGTTTGGAGACATGGTGTGCTTCTTGTTTATAACTCCATTGGCGACCATCTCCGGCTGGCTGTGTCTGCGGGGAGCAGTGGACCATCTGCACTTTAGTAGTAGGCTAGAAGCTGTTGGCCTCATTGCACTCACTGTCGCACTCTTCACCATTTACCTCTTTTGGACCCTAGTAAGTGCTGATTTTCAGTTAACTATCACATAAGAGGGAGGGGGGGGTGAGCTCATTTTGATCCCATGAATGCCAAGTAACATTATGGAATAACCCTATAGAATTAAAATGGGAAATGATCACCTTTCCATGGCTCTTTTGGACCGCCGGCTATAATTTAATAGAGACTTGCCATAGAATTCTGTAAGACCCCTGTACAAAGACTGTCATTTTCTATTACATTCTGTAATTTTCCTTTAGTTATGGCTGTAGGAAACCTTGTAATTTCATCCCAATTAAATTCCATTAGAGCTCCTGCATAAAGGCAGTTTGCCTTTGGTATTTGGTAATTACCGAATCTGAAGGCCCCAGGGGATGGCAGGAAGAAGTCAGTGAGCAGTAGAGGGGAGAAAAGTTCAAGACAAATGCCACAGAAGTGAACTGCCATCAAAGCCATTGGATGGAACAGGGAGAGGTACAAGACAGCCCTGCATGTTTAATATGGCTGCCATGAGGCAGTGGCATAATAAGTCCTCTATTCTAGTTTGATTTTTGTAATCTTAAAGAGTACAAAAGTTCCAGATTCAATCCTAGTAGAACATTTTTACTTCCCTATATACTTAGGGTTCCATCTATTCTGCTGTTGAATTTACTACAGAATCCTCACCTTTCTGTGGACTAATGTGTGAGCATCTAAGTGTCCTTTTAAAAACATCAATACAACCAACCTCTTTTCATCTCTCAGAAGGTTGTGATGAACCTTTTCCAAATGGGGACAGAATGTAAAGGTTGGTCTCTTATGAGAAAGTTGGCATCAAAATTAGCCATAT